ATTAGCTTCACTCAGGGCTGAAGAGCATCTCCAACAGTAACAAGGTCTCCCAGGACCACTTTTCTTGCAAGTACTGTAGTCATATTTTCTCATTAGTTCCTTTCAGTTGTCACTAATACCATCTTCCAATGCTTTTAGAGTTAGACTGAAAGCATGAAAATGCTGTATGTACATAGAAAAGACAATTTATTTTCTATGATTCAAGTCCTTCTGAATCTTTTTTTTTTTTGATAAATGGAAGCTTCCACACTTTAGTTCATTAACCTCAAACCTCCATATAAGTCAAAAAATACAGGGATAGTTGACTATCAGAATGAAGAGGTAGTTGCATTTCTCAATGATTCATTTCTAATTAGTGATTTTTTTGATTTTAACCTCTTCCAGTTTGCATTAGAACTTGGAAAGTCAGAAGCTCTAACTTTGTGGACTCACTGCACAAATTCGTATGTGGGAACCATCAAGATTATAGGCTTAAATTTTAAGTTATCAGTAGATACATATCATACATTTCCATCATGCAGTTACGTTGCTTTTGAAGACTTCTTTGTACAGAAGCTTTATATTGGTTATTTGGTGTACACTGTGTCTATTTGGACATTTTATACAGACCAAGTGGGACAGAGCAGTGCATGAAAATACACAGTAGTAGAGAAATTTCCATAACTTCTCTACCAGGTGTTGAGAGTCATTGCTCAATACAAGTTGCTGGAATTTTAACAATATTATGATTATGTTCTTTTTCTTTGAGAAAATCATTTTTACAAATGGGAAGATATTAATAGAAATATTAATAATAGGAGGCAATTTGGGCTTTGTTGGAGTCTGAACATGACTGAACTTTGGGCTATTGGGATTTATATGTGCATAGCAGTGATGACCGAGGGATCTAGGAAGAACTTTGCAAGGTGGCATAGGAATTTGTTAGTTAAAATTTCCAGTTTGAATTAAATAATTCCGTCCAAAAATTAGTATTTATTTTTCTCTGTTTTCATGACTTAACAGGAGTCTAAAATGCTGTTCATCTAAAAAGTTGTAAGCCAAGTGATTTCAGTTTGGACCAGTCTAGATACAAACTTGTTGGCTGTTACTCAAGCTGTAATTTTAGTTTTATTCCTTTAGCCTTTGGGTCAATTTTGGTAATTAGTTATTTTAAGTGTAAAAATTACCCTGTTTTTTCCCCGGAAGAAATAGTACATTTTTAATATATTTGGAGGAAATATGGACAATAAACACATGTGTCCCTGTATGTCTACTTCTTTTAGATGTTGCCCATCTTTCTATAGTGGAAAGAGGTGACAAAAGACAATTCAGTCACTTGCTGTAAGGAGGTTGTAGATAGTCTTCTGTCAGCCATGGCACACAGCTCTCGTTATGCTGGCCAAGGAGCACTACCTGACAGCAGATAGGGTTTCATCCTAGATATTTTCAGGGCACCATTATATATATATATTTTTTTCCACTTTTGCCATTTGATGCTATTTTAAATAATAATTTTGCTTCTCATTAACCTTATTTCTCTTATTTATGTTGACTTGCTTAAAACTTCCTTTTCCTTCACTCTGAAATTTTGGTTAGGACATGAAAATCAACACTACACCATTCTTAAAACTTTTAAAAAAGCACACAAACACACATACACACACCACTTGAAAAATGTGTAATACAGACAGATTGTAAATATAAAGACTTCAAAAGATATATATGACAATAATCTGATATAATTTTGATGGATTGTAACAGCAGAATTAACATGACTTGATCTTTGCTTTCTAGAAAAGGTTAATGTCATTTTGTTCCTTTGCCCTTTTTCTTCGCTGTCATATTTAACAAAGATTAAAAGGTAAAAGTAGTAAGTGCGCAACTCCTCCTATCTTTCCTTATGTTGGAAAGAAATCATTTGTAACAACGATTATGTATCGTGTATGACCCTCTACACAGCCCAAGCTAATGAGCCCAGGTAAAGCATTTCATATGTCTCTGTAAGTTGATTTACATGTGCATGATCTATAAAGGGGATAATGGAAATTAAAAATGAAATTAAACTCTTTCAGTTATTGAAGGTGGATAAAGAAATTCATAAATTCCATATTCCAGCTATATTAAAGATTTTTTTCCCCTAAAGTAAATGTGTCGTTACCTCATTCCTGTAGAGATTTGATGATTTAAATATTTTCAAAAAACAAAGAAATGAGACAGCTGAAGCAAAGTTTCTGCCTTTTTTTTCCTGTTTAATGGAAACCGCTAAAGTTCTTTTGAGATGAAGATTTTTGTCAGACTTAATTGTTGAGGCGAGCTTTTAAATATGTGCTGCTTAAAAAAAAAAAAAAAAAAACCAATGTAGTGGCGTTTGTCTGAGTTGGTCAAACTCATGTCAACTGCACCAAAGCAGTGACATTGTCCTTCAGCAGCAGGGGAGGAGGAGAGGGCAGCGTTTGCCTCCCAGCTTGGGCGGATGGAGCATCTCCACCACCGTGCCGCCGCACCGCTGCTTTGCCAGGGCTGCTGAAGCCCTGTCCCGCTCTGAGGTGTGTCACGGGGGGCAAAACTACAACTCCCTTCTCCTGCAGCTAAAGCCCCTTTATGTAAAGCCAGGGGAGGAGGCAGATCCCCAGCCTTAGGCCTGCGCAGGTCCGGAAGGATGCACAGGCAGGCTTCTCTCTGTGCCTAGTACTGATCTGCCCATGACCAGTGTAGAATTACAACTTTGTATAACTGGAATGGGAAGGAGAATCAAGTAGGCTTTTAAGCAGTCATGGCTATCTTGCAGTAGTGTTGTTTGAGGCTGATTGCTCTATTGTATTTTTGATTAGTTAATTGTCTCTCTGTAAACTAAAAATAATTTGAAATAATTTCAAAATTTACAAAGTACAGTTGTTAGGCACAAACATCTGAATATTTTTCTAGATTCAGAAGCTTTATTTGGAATAAAAAATATTTTAGAATCTTATTTTCTGCTAACTTGTAAATGCGCAAGTATTAACAAATAGCATATAGCATTCTTATAATTGCAATATCCGTTTACTTTTTGATTATATCTTATTTACTTTACATCACTCCCTAATAAATGTAGCATGTAATAAAATATAGGACAATAATTTCCCTTTTATTAATATTACTACATTAATACTAAAATCTCAGTATGAAGAACCGTTGTTCTGGAATAAATAATACAAAGTCTTCCTCAAAGCCCGGTTGATCGCTATAAGCCAGTTCACGAAGACAAGTACCTCTTTTGAAATGACATCTCGCAGGATCACAGAGGCTTTCTGTGTCCTTTGTAGAATGTATTTAATGCTCTAAATCTTATCTGATTTGTATGAAAATAACCTGATGAAACCGAATAGCTTTTAGAGTCGTTTTTATTAAATACCACAGTCTTGGTGTAACTTTTAGAAGAAAAGTATTTGTCATGCTTGCTAATTGTCTTAGCAGAGAAGCTGTACATGGAAAAAAAAGTCTGAAGCTGGAGGTTTACCCTTCTCTAAGTGTTTTTCTTCCAGGTTTACAGTGTTAAAGCATTTCCCTCTCTTATATATAAACCAGAAGACCTCATTCCTGCGGACAAACATTGCAAAATTTTCTTGACTATGAAGTTCACACAGTTTTAAAAGAACTGCTGTAAATTGAAAAAGAAACCAGGATCAAAGTATTTTTTTCAGAATTGAAATTTATTAGTGATGATGAGTTTTGGTTCTTAGATTTCAGAAGGAAGAAAAGAAGGCAGGGGACAAAGAACTCTGAACAGTTATCATTTAGTTATTGTGCTGTGTTAAAAGCTCTAAGAATTAGGTGGCTGCTTTTAAAAAACAAAATCATCAGTATCAACAATTATATCAAGATTGAGCATAAGCTATTGGTAGTGGTAAGTGGAGGAGGATTCCAGAGGATGTAGGGGTATTTTCTGAGTTACAACAATTCAGCCATACCTAATTTTTGTTCAAAATTAGCAAATAATTTAATTATGTGTAATGCAGAAGAATTGATTTAAGAGCCAAAGTAGATGATTGGGTAAGTGATCTGAAAATTAAAGAGAAGTATATTGGATCAAAGGAAATTACTATGATTTATCCTATTAAAATCCACTTTTAAAATGTCTGTCTGTACAGATTTGCAAAGTAGTCTCATTAGTTGATCTAACGATCAACTTAGTGATCAAAGTGATGCATTTTACAGTATCGGAATTAAAAATACACTTTATAAAATTTATTTTTATGAGTGGTACTGCTTAAACAGTAGCAGTAACAGTTGTGAGTATAACAATAACAACACATTAATTAAGACTTGGTTGCAAGTGTATTATAACACGTATTTTATAAGACAATTTTAGTTTTCATATTAACTTTCTTGCTTATAAGAAGCCAAACAGCGATTCACAGGCAAAACATATGATTCACTGCAAATTCATCAAAATTGTGACAAGGCAGCCAAATGAGCTGTCTTCTCATCTGTATAAGCTTCTGTTGCAACATATTGAAACACAAACGGCATGTAGCTTTTCATGACCTGATGAATGCTGACTTCTGCAATAATCACTGAAGAAACAGAAAAATGAATTTAAAATTGCATTTTCTCATATTTTGTCCTCATGGTAATGTCCTTATTCTTCTTATCCAGAAAAAAGAAAAAAAAAAGGAAAAAAAAAACCGCTCTCTAAGCTTAAATCAGTCAAGAGAAACCTTCCAAAGTTATGCAGAAATAGAAGTTAACATTTGTATTATTTTTCAAAGGACTTGTCTATATATATATATTAAGGAGCTCCAATTCAAATAATACGTATTATTGGATCACCGATATAAAAATATGGAATGCAATGTGATACATTTCTCTAGTTTATCAAATATTAATGTGTGTAGCTATAGCCACGTGCATTTTCAATGAATTCTAGAGAATAATTTACAAAATGAGGAAAATAATATACAGGGCATTGCATTTTTGACTCTTACTAATTAAAGATTATCTGTTTTTCTTTAACATTAAGTTTTACTGTATGTGTATTCCAGATGTGTGGAGGTGATTGCTAAAGAAGGCCGGAATCTGAAAGAGCTGTATTTAGTGTCCTGTAAGATCACTGATTATGGTATGTAGTATACTCTTTTTTTTTTTTTTTTTTTTTTTTTTTTTTTTTTTTTTTTTTTTTTTTTTTTTTTTTTTTTTTTGCCAAGATTGACCTTTGCTTGCTTTGTGTAAGGATTCTTAGAAAGCTCTTGGAAATATATCAATAAATATTTTTGTAAAAAATAGTAAAAGCAAAAAGGGGTTGGCCTGCTTAAAAATATCTATGCTTGGAAATCTGAAAGTCCATACAAATATGTGGAAGTGACAGTTTACCATTTGGGAGTGATAGTTACTGGGCAGAGTAGGCCAAGTGCCTTTATAATCATCCTGGAGAGCATTTGAGAGCAACTCCAAAAGCATATGTGCATTTCTAGACAATGTGAGCACAAAACTAAGCAGCTGTGAGTGTTGATTGATTGGCTAATATAGGCAGTAAAATTGAATTAACCTATTTTTCACTTTAAATGCTACAGTAATAAAACAGAGAGAAGAATCTCGAAGTTGAGGCTTTCTAGAAAGACAGAATTTATATATTAAGTAGGCACAAAAATTTCTCAGTACTTGGGTGTGCTTGCAGAGGCAAGGTTTTCGTCGTTAGTTTCTAATAAGACACTGACTTCAAATAAGAAAATTGATTCTCAAAAGTCTGACTCCCATTTAGAGGCTCAAATTTCAGTAGGATTTACAAACTTGTGTGTCTTAGAGACATGCCACAAGTCTGCTATTTTGAATTGCTCTGTTTCTCACTCTTTTGTACTTTAACTTTTTACCCCATTGCTTTTGTAAAGAATTACTATGTCCAAGTGATAAATTATCTTTCCAGTGGGCACAGACGTGTTCATGTATTTTCCCCTTTGGATTTTGCACTTCCCTGGGGCTTGCATGGGTGCATTTAGGGTGTATTTGCTCTGCAGAGGTGAGTTTGCATCATGCCCATCTGCTTGGACTATGAGACTTTTAAACATGGAAGAACTTTGGGGCCTGGGAGAGGACAGATGGGCACAGTCCCCTCCTTCTTTGCCCTGTGGTTGTTTGCAATTGCATGTACAGAATAGTTTTTCCCAAAACTGTAATTGTAGGTTCTCTGACTACTCCCTGTCAGACAAGAGTCTTCACCCAACTTGTGAATTTGGTGAGCTGGTGAACTGGTGAAACAGTCACTGGAAATTCAAAGAAGGGAATTCTCTGCCAAACGCAAAGTGACAGCAAGAATATGTCACATCACCCCTAAATCCACAGGGATTTAGAGCCTCTGCTGGAAGTCAGACTGTCCCTTTGAGTGTTACAGGTCTACTAGTTGTGCTCTGTCTTATACTGCAATGCAGAAGAAGCTCTCCTGGCCTTAACAGAATGTCTGTCCATTCTGCCCATCAGTGATTTCTGGTTCTGATTTCACTGTTCATTGGCTGCAGGTTTTGAGAGGAGAACAGAGTTTCTCCCAAAAGCAAGGAAGCAAACATTGATTAATTGAAGCATAAGTAAATGAGAATGGAGAAAGGAAGCCTCCATCCCTAGGTGAAAACTGGCAAGTGTGTTTTATGGCATAAAGGAATAGACAATCTCTTCAGGGTTTGCATCATTAAGCTGTCAGCCATGGACAACTGAGCTTCTGTTGGCTTCTATGGCCAGGAGCTCAGCTGACGCTGGTGTACAGGATTATGGAGTTGTTCAACATGATGGCAGTCAAATCACTGGGACTCGGAAAGCATTTTTAGTTGACAGTGTCAGCACACGCTTTTAGTACTATCTGAAAGAAATCCCTATTAGGTTAGCCTAATGGCATCAGTAAGCCATCCAGCAAAATGGTTGCAATACTGACTGATTTTTGATGCAATTAAGACTAATTGATAATCACTAAAATCTTGAATATATCTCAGCATACCAGCCTGAGAAGAATACTCCTTTGCTTGTGATATCTAACCTGAAAATACAAAATAAACTTTGTAGCAAAATAGAATTTTATAAGCATAATTTAGGATTTTTAAGGAAATTAAAACTCTGCCTTTTGTAGTTATAGATGGTGATAGCAAGTGAATAATAATTAGATTAACAGGAGCGTTATGGGGTGCAGTCAAACTTCACCCTGTTGTCCCTTTTCTTTGTCCCACACTCATTTATCTCCATTTATTTCCAGCTTTCCAGCTCCTTACAGTGCTGTGAGTTCAGTTTGTTTGCTCAACTTTCTCTATGAAAGAAGATGCATCTCTTCTTGAAAGCTCTGTTTAGTTTTATAGGAGAAGGAGTTTTATCATTACTCTTCAGAATTCCAGTTACAGAAGGAGATTTGGGAACGGGGGAAGGAGCAATCATAGCTATCTTTTGTACCTTCATACTTGTGGCAAGTCAAGGAAATCAACTGAGAATCTTAAATCTGATTTCTTGGGGGATCATTCAGGTATTTTCCTGTTGCCTTACAACAGGGAGCAACTCCCCAGGCAGTTGCTCAGGCTACAGCAGGAAGTAGGTATGTCTTTATCAGTAGAAATTCAATTTGTTATTATTTACATCAGCCTCGTGGAAAGGGTGGGCACAGTCATGATTTAGCTGAATTGTTTGCACTGGGTTACAATATCCAAAGCCATGTGAGGCAGTGAGGAGGTGGGAGCCTGCAGCTAGGGTGATAGCAGATCTTTGTTTGATCTGCTTATTGCTCTTGAGGGTATGAATATGTGTCTTTTGTGTACATGGCTATATTAAACACATAGTCATGCTTGCTTTGGAGATTAAATTCCTGATATACATCTTTCAGTTACTGCTGTATGTATTGTCACTTTTTTTTTTTTTTTTCAAACATACCTATGGCTGATAATCAGACCCTTGATGGGTTAACAGATGTATCATTTTGAAAGCCTCCTCTGAGAATATTCAGCAATATGATGCTGAATATTTCAATGTTGTTGCTCTGGCAATTACCCAGGTAGATTTTGGCTGGTGGGGAGAAATTGTTTGGAAGTTCAGCTGGAAAAAGCACTAAGTTATGAGAACAATTTGAACTAACTTGGGACACCAGGTAGTAATGAAGATAGTAATAAAAATTATGGTTGTTGTCCCACAATTAATACTGTAGAGATACCTATGTGAAGTATTTGCTTGTACTCTGAGGAGGGTAATGAAGTGTCAAGTTGATCATCTTATTCCTTTCATGCATGTTTTTTATTTTCCCACAATTAAATGGTAAGAAAAATATCAGATTGGAATGATCTATATGCTATTAGTATTTTAAAAGCATACTAAAATTCTAACTTTTATTTTGAAAATTTAGCACAGTCCTCTAGGCCATGATACTGTAGTCCTAGGGAGCATTTCTTTATCTGTTGTTCAGCAACCATGAAAAATGTTTCTATGCATTTAAAGAGAAAAAAATTATTCACAGAAGATTCACAGAAGAAGAAGTATCCATAGGTTAAGAGTTCTTAGCTTGTGAAGAAAACAACAAGCATAGTGCTGTATTCTGCAAATTTAGTTTTCTATGACATTCAGTATAAAACTTTCATAGTATGTAAGTTGATTCATGAAGTCCTTTCTAAGTCTTTCTTTCTTTCATGAAGTCTAAAAATGCCTCCGGTTTTATCTTACTTTATCTTAGGCTAAATTTTGATCAGTATGCGTTGATGTCACTGATATGAGTGTTCTGTACATGATCTTTCCACTTATACATGTGTAAATCAAAAAGTCATCTATTTCAAGATTGCAGGATAAAATAGGTGAATATGTGTATATACATATACTTCAAATACTTTGGCTTAAAAGTAAAATAACTGTTGTTACTTAAAAGTTTTTATGTTTCATTGTAAAGCAGTTTTTTTTTCCCTTTGGTCTGATTTTTCTCCCTAATACTAAATAATGGTTCAAGTATATCTTGCTTACTTCTGGAAAGTTTAGAGGATAGTGATGTGTTTACGATGATTGAAGATTAAATATGAATTGGAAGGGTAAATATGATTATTTTTCTGAAAGTTGTATATTGTAAAAGGCTAAATAATTGCCAGCATTTACATAGGCTGATGGGAGAGAGAGCCTGAATCGCTATAATCTCCGAGATAAACACCTGTTTGCTCAAGAGCAGCAAGAGAATGAAGTCAGAGCCACCATTAGTTCCTTATATCGTTTTGTCCTTTGTTAAACAATCATGAATTAAGCATGGGGTGTCAGTGTTATCTTTGAATTTCCTGCCTTTTGTTGATTTGTGTCACAACCCTAACATTACTTAAACATAGCGGGTTTTGTATTTAATCTTTTACTAAGAGCTAGTAAGCAGGCCAGGCTTTCTCAGCTGCGGGGACACTGTGTGTCAAATGAATTAGGTTGATGTGAAGATGTATAGCAGGGAGCTGGGCAGCAGCCGCACACGGGATTGTGTAACTGTCTCTCCAATTTTATGCTCTAATTCTGGGTTTTATTGATTTCCTGGGTGTTGGGAATTTGTTTTAAGAAATACTTTTACAAATAAAATATTACTTATAAGGTTGGTAACGGTGCGTACGGGCGTACCCTGAAGCACAAAAGGGGAGACTTTGTGTGCAGAGATGAAACGGTTTCATGAAATTACCCTATGAAATACAAGTAGATGTTTTAAGGGCCTGATCTTGCCATTGTTTTATACATGCATTTACTAAGAATGAAGGAAAAAAAAATATATGACTCTCTTAACAATAGTGAAAGAAAAGTCTCTGGGTGCTTTACTTTTCTATTTAAAAAAGTAGCGAGTCCAATGATCTGTTTTTTTTTTTTTTTTTTTTCTATGCTCACAAAGAAAATATTTTCAAATCTAGGAAAAAAAAATCAAAGTATCCAAATCTGAGCTACTGCGGATGCAGTTAGTGCAACTTGGGCTGTGGGTATCTCAGGGGTTCCTGACTGGCAGCGTGTGGAAGGTGGCAGTGGCCTCAGCAATTGTCTTCTGTGAGTCTGATAGCCTGGTAGTTCTGGGTTTTGCCAAGCTTAAAGATGTTCTGTTTCTACCCATTAATTAATTGCACAAAGCTTTTCACACGAAACGCTTGACCCTCAGGCCTGATATAA